CCTCCCGAACCCTACGTCTCCATCCTCCTATTTTCTCTCCTTCGGTTTTTCTCTCTTGTCTCCGCCTTCGCTCCACCACGCCGGCCGCCACGCCACACCCCTGTCGGTACGAGAGTTTGTCACCTCTAGCGGTACACCTAGGCTGCATGCTGCTTCTCCACCGCCGACGTTCCACACCTCTCCTCCGACCGCCGCTTAGGTACCATCCGCTCCTACGATGCTCATCATACCTGGCAACTGTTCAGTGAATTGTCCGAGCAACATTTTTTGTCCCTTCTTCTTTCAAGCAATGGATTTGGATATGGAGTGCATCTGCGAGCACTATGTTGAGTCGTTTGACTCGTTCGACGAGGAAGATAAACGGATGAGACGGTGATGATGCATGCGGTGATTGCAAACGTGAAGCGTGCAAAGGAGCATGTTTTTAATTTCAAGGGTCATCGAGTGCTCAACCGCAACCGGGTGCACGACCATTTGACGCTGATGGACGACTACTTTACCCTCGATGTTCTCTTCGTTGACAATTTTTACCAAAGCTTCCGGATGCACAAAAATGTTTTTGATCGTCTTTACCATGACATCCAGTCCTTTGAGGACTACTTCATCTTGAAGAAAGACGGCATGGGAAGGATTGGGTTCTGTGGTTATCAGAAGTGCACGGCCGCACTACGGATGCTTGCATATGGCACGACCGCTAATTCATGGAACGAGTACCTAAGGATGTCCGAGAGCACATGCGGAGATGCCATGGTCAGATTTACAACAGCTGTGATCGAGGTGATTGGACCTCGGTACCTGAGATAACCAACTACGGGAGACACCGAGAGGCTCTTGGCAATCTTGGAAGTAAGAGGGTGGCTAGGTTTGCTCGGATTACTTGACTGCATGCAATGGAAATGGAAGAACTGTTCAAAAGCTTTGCAAGGGCAATACCAGGGTCATGTTAAAAAGCCCACCATCATTCTTGAACTAGTTGCATCACATGATCTTTGGACTTGACACTCTTTCTTTGGCATGCCCGGGTCCCACAAGATGTGTTTCTTTGATTTTTTTGGTCCGTTCATCGTATAAAAGTATTTTCTTCCGTACCTATCTGAGGTGGTACTAAAAGTTTTATCCGTCCACGTATAAATAAATTTTTGGGTTGGGCCTCCAAACCGTGCAGTCAAGGGGCCTGCTCTGCATCTTTTTCCTTCGATTGGGTCATAGGGAGCCAGTCCTCTACGTGGGCCAAGGGTCCTACTCTGCATCTTTTTTTCTTCTCATTTGTGCCTCAGAAAAAAAAAGAATGCACAAAAATTTCAGGGAAACACATCGCTTTGTTAGTAGGTATAGAATAGTACCACCCCGCCAAAGCAAAACCATCAATTTATATACATTTTGGAGTTACGTGTTACCGATCAACTAAATACGTCGACTTGAAAATCAATAAGCGAATGAGGATGCTGCCATAAGAAAAAGAGAATGAGTCCCGCTAAGGGCCTGTTCGGTACAAAGGACTTTCACAGGAAACTCCAAAGGAATCAATTCCTATGGAAAATTTTGCTAGCTTGCGTTCGGGATAGAGAGGAAAGTAAAAAATCCACCCCAAGCTCATGTTTTGGGCGGAACACCGAGACAAGCCGTGATACGTGAGGAGCCTGACAGCTGCGCTGCACAGATTAAAAAACTAGTACTGCTTGGATCAATTGGTTAGAGTTAGTTTGGGTTAGTTTGGACTCAACTAATTCAAAAATATCCAAACAGGTGGATTAGTTTGGTTAGATGCATCTAATTCATTCAAAAAATCTAACCCACTCAAGAGGTGATTATTTGGGTTAGTTCTTCTTGGGATCATTAAAAAACACATTTTTCTCTCGCTTTCCCCGCAGCAGATCCCTTCCCACTTTTTCGAAGCTTCCCGTCCTCTCTCTCCCTCCCACTCGCACCACCCGTGAAGACGCCTCGCCGTATCCGCGCTCCATCTAACCCTGTTATCCAAACACCTCTTTGGCTAGAGTTAGTTCAGGGTTAGTTCAGGGTTAGAATCTAACTCTAACCTCTAACTGAGTTAGAGCATTCAAACAGGGCCAAAGGCAGCTAGTGTTCATCGCTGAATAAACTATGCATCAGACTATCCTTCATGTCAGATGCAGTAGTAGGCTAGCTTCTTGGGTTTTTCCTGCGGTCACCCGAACACATTTTTTCAGGCTTCCTTTTTCTTTTTACTCCCTATGTCTCATAATGTAAGAAGTTTTCTCACAGTAGTGTAGTGTTAAAAAAAACTTACATTATGAGACGGAAGAAGTAGATCCTATGGTTTGCTCTAGTCTTGCTTTTTCATTTCTATATATTCATAAATTCCTATGTTTTAAGTCCCTTTGTTCCGAACAGAGCCTTAAGGAAGAAAGGAATATGTTGTCCTATATGGGCTAATTAAGTGTTGCACACTTAAACGACTTGCTTCATAATTAAAGCAGTTTTGTGTTGTGCATATTGAGATCCAGTAAGTAGTGCGTAATTAATAAGAGGTGGACGAATACTGCCTTGATGATGTGAAGAAGCTGGGTACTAGAGGAGCTCTTCAAGAAAGAGAAAGAGAACAATAGTATAAGACAGACGAAAATAAGACGGGTAACAATCATCACTAATCTATAATATTATAATAGTTCATTCCCATTAATCTATTTCTCTTAACATGCAGCCTATCCACATCAGCGGCACCGCCACATCAGTGCTCCCTTACCAGCTTACAAGAGGGACCCACCACAAATCAATCCATTCCACATATGAGCATTGGGTTACAGGTTTACATGAGGGCAACCACCGCATGTTCATGCGCATAGTGCAGAACGCATCTTCTTCCCCATCGGCTATGAATCCCGGCCCAATCATCTCCCTTAATTAACCTCCCCCACCCATCTCCTCAATTAACTCAATCATCCATTGATTTCCAATTTTCCATAGTGCGTGCAGAAGAGAAACGCACCATCTGTTTCTCATGACGCGGTGTTTTGGTTCCTAGGTGCATATGCACCCATTGTCTAAATTACACATTTTGAGAAGTTGAAAAATTCGGAATAAAAATCTTGCGGGTATTCCCAGACATTCTATGTGCATGCACAAAGTTTCGATGAAAAACAACATCATAAATTTTCTTTTTTACACAAGCCACAAAAATGAAATGAAAAATGAATAGTTGTAATGAAGCATCATAAATTTTCTTTTTTACACAAGCCACAAAAAACCTCGTTTTTCACCGAAAAATTTGTGCACGCGCATAGAATATCCGGATATACACGCGGGATTTTTGTTCAGAATTTTCCACCTTTTCAAAATGTGTATTTAGACAATAGGTGCATATGCACCTAGGAGCCATTGCAAATTTCCATGTTTCTCATGCATTTATTCGGTGGAGAAGAGGAATAAGCAACAGATGGTGCGGTATCAATAAATCGACGCGAGCCGCAGGTCCTCGGCGGTGCTGCGAGGAGCCGAGCGCGCGTCCCTATTGGCGAGGAGAAACGCAAAGGTGCTGCCTTGCTCCTAATCCCGATCCAGAATCTGGGGATTAGGTTTCGCCCCCGCACTGTCCATGGTCTCCGCCTGCGACACAAGCTGAGTGTGGAAGCTTCTAGAACCAGCTAATTGTTGATGGGAGACATCCGCCTCCGTCGACCGTCACCTGCGGTGCAAGTCTCGCGGAAGAGGAGGACCGTGGAAGCTTCTAGAACTAACTGGTTTTTGATGGGAGACGCTCGCCTCCGTCGCGCAGCCACTGCATGCGGTGTCGCCTTCCTTCTCCAACTTGACCGTGCCGACAACTATAGGCTCCTCGCCGCCGTTCTCGATTCGCCATCGCCCAGTCCAACAAGATCTTCACCACATGGTACACCTCAATCGCCCTACCTCAGCATCTGCAGCCGGTTGAACCTGACCTTTCAGTCATGGGGTACGTACATGCATAGATGGATCCCATCCATTAGCGGCACGAGCAATGACTACCCAAGTGGCTACGACCGTAAGGAATTAATAAGACCACCTGTTGTTGTTCATGTACTAATGTACTGTATTGTCAAATTTTCTACTGCCGTTCACTGATGTTCCCCAACTTGATTATTTAGTGTTCTGTTAAAAGTTGAAGTAGCAACTTTGCTTTCTTTTAGATCATAAACCCATTGCAGATATGCTACTCATCTAATTTCTTCTAGCAGGTTGTGTCAATCATGTTACTGAATCTCTTATAAGAGAGGGGATGCTACCACCCACTGAGGCAACTCCTTCTCTGCCATTCTGTATTGTATAAATTTTGCACAGATTGTAGTATCGTGCACCACTAAAGAAGACATAGTGCGCAAATCTCCTTTGATGGTATGACCACCATAATTTTCTTATTGTTTAACACTTCTACAATTGTAATTAATGGTGTCTGCTGAATGTATGGCTAAACAATCAAAATGTCTAGATGTTTGCAGGTTACTTTTGTCTGGATTTTGCTGTTATCTTCCAATCAATGTCATGTGTTAATGTCCTACATGTGTTACTTCAGCATGTATGCGCACCCAAGAATGTTAGCTGAGTATTGGTCTGAACAGTTGAAGGAAGTTAAGACGATAAAAAAATAGTTGAGGGGATATCAATACATATTTCCCGTCCATTCTCATTAGTGTTGCATGGACCTAAAAGTAGTATTGTGAAACAAGATACAGATTGTTTGAAACTACATTGGATACTAACCTCTCTCTTCAATACTTTGATTTCTTATTTTTTATCTGCAATGACAACATTGGCAAATGTCCTCTCAAATGCTAATTTCCTTATCTATAGAAGTAAGATCATGTCAATTATCATTATAGATTCTTATTCTTTGATTGCTATTGAATTGCATCAGTTCTACACATTCAGTTTGGCTTTACGGAATGGGTAAGATTTATTTTACTATCTCTCTTCATTGTCATAGTTGTTTGACTTAACGTACATATCATTGTTTTGGAACAGGTTATCCTGGCTTTGCAAACCATTACTGTTCTGAAATCCATATTTAATTGTAGATGCCATGTTTGATTATTGAACCAAAGTTCATCACAGTACTAACTTTAAAAGCCTTCTCCCTTGACTGGTCTTGACTTGCTAAGTAAAACTGTATCACTATTTTATTTTGTTCTGAAACTTACTTTGTCTATAATATAGCCTTCATCAAATATAGTAGTGGTTGAATTTTTTTTGCAGAAATTATTGTACAACCTAAATTGGTATTTCTTTTATGTTCTCACCACTATGCAACTCTTCTTACATACTATTTTTTCCCCACTTTTCAAGTGCTAGCACTGTGATCCCTGTTATTGCCGGTGATTGTTTGCTGTCCTTAGTGGATGAAGATAAAAATTGAAATATTATGCAGGCAACTAAAAATAATCATTACACCTCCAGAGGAAATCTTCCATGCTTATTTAATTTGTAGTATATTTATTTTAGCTTTGTGTGTAAGATGTTTTGGATGGAGAGATGGTTGTTTGGGTCACTATATTTAGCTAATGGAAAATGAAGCACTAGCTTATGTTCATAATTTAAAGGAAATCTTTTGTATTTTTCTAGCCAATCATGCATTCTACAATCTCATGAAGTGGGTTTACTATAGCTGAGAGACGAGGTGGTTAACAACTATATTCAAATTATTTATAATTTTTTTCTAATTTATTTTCATTTAGCTTGCTACAATTTCCTGAACAACGTGCGGGGTATCATCCAGTATATAAAAAAGAATAGATACAAAAATGTCAAACCTATAGAGTTTTTTTCTCAAAGAAATAGAAATATCATATAGA